TGGCCTCAGCAACTTCGATACAGTCATGGGCAGCGCGTGTGATCGAGCTACACGTAGGAGTGGCCTTTCGCCAAAGTGGCCGAGTGCGGGGGGACAGCAGCGGCTCGAGCGCGTCTTGGGCTTGGCCCCCCCAGCAACCCCCTCCGAGCCGCGCACCACAGGTCCCTCCTGTCTGTAGGGCCACCCCTGCGTGGCAGCCGACGAAGGGCGCGGGCTGCTGTTGCTGCTGCTGCAGCTGCCCTCGGCGCCCCTCCGCGGGCGCGCCGCCGCGCGCCGGCGCGCCGGCGCCCCGGAGCACGGCGAGCCCGTGCGGGCACGGGCCAGGGGGAGAGGGCCAGGCGATCGCAAGCGTGGATTTTAAGGGGGCGAGAGGGTCAGCGACGGGCCCCGGTTCCGCATGACGTCGCGGATGCCCGCCGCCGGGCGAGGCGGCACGGGCCGCCTCTTGTTGGGAGGGCACCTCCCCCGATCCATGCATTGGGGGCGACCGCGCGCCAAGTCCACGGATCGCTCCTCCAGGCCTGCGCGCCCCCGAGAGAGGAGGGGGGGGGGGTGCCTTGGGCAGGGGCGCAGGGCGAGGGCAGGGCCACCGCGCAGGCGGGTGACGATGGGGTGGGCGTCGTGCGCTTCGTTGCGGGCGCTCGAGGCGCGCGGTCCCGTTCGGGCCGCTCGGCCGCGGGGTCGCGGGCCCGGGCCAGGGGGGGAAGGGGGCGCCCGCCGGCCAGGGGCGTGGGGCGAGGGAGGGGCGAGGCGTCGCTCCAGCCTTCTTCCTGCTCCTGATCGCCATCGTCTTCGCCGTCGTCGCCGCCGCCGGCGTCTGGCGGAGTGGTACGTGTCGGTGTCGGCTCTCGTGCAAGGCCAGGGTACGACCTGCCCCGCTGGGGGGCTGAGGTGGTCCTATGAGCGTGGGTGGTGCAGGCAGTCCTGATGGCGCCACCCTCGAGGCCCAGGACGTTCGTCGTCGTCGTTCTGGGGACCCCTCTGGGGGCGCTTTCAGGGCTGGGATCGCGCACTGGACCCCGCGCACGTCAAGGTCAAGATTAAAACACCCCCGCATTAATCAGCGTCGGAGTAGAGCACTTGGACACACGAGCCTGCCAAGGAGTCGTTCAACTGATGCGGACGATCAAGAATCTCCAAGACTAAAAAGACTTTGGCCCGACGCCGACGACGACAACGTTCGGGAGCACATCAGCTCACAGGTGATTGGTAGTCCGTGGCAACTTAGAACGGTACAACAGGGTCCGTGGAGGTGCATCAGGGGCAGGACTTGTTTGTCAGACAGAACTGGTTGAGCATTGCGTGATGCATTTCCACGTGCTTCAATCAATTCCCCTACCATGCGCGAATGCATCGACAGCCCACTGTCTCTTCCGATGTGGGGGACTGCGTGTCCCGTACTCCTTCCCCCCTGCAGGGACCGCCCTTGAGGGCCGGAGTGTGGGCCTATCTGCCTGTCTGGCTTTCTGTCTGTTTGTCTGTCTGTCTGTCTGTCTGTCTGTCTGTCTGCCTGTCTGTCTGTCTGTCTGTCTGTCTGTGCGCTTTTGAATTTAATTTATTTTTTTGAAGTCAAAAGACAGAAAGGCTTCTTATATCAAAAAACGAGAGCCTTTCTGTCTGTCTGTCTGTCTGTCTGTCTGTCTGTTTGTGTGCCACTGCGCATGTCTTCTATTAACCGGAAAAGGCCCGCTCTCGACCCGCCGACCAAAAAGTGCATGTCTTCTGCCAGGCCGCCGACCCCCACAGGATGAGGTGCGGCTTCCGATGTCGTATGTGCCGTGTGCCGCTTCCCGTCTGGCTGCCTGCGTGTAGTTGTTGCTGATTCGTCCTCTTCTTCGGGTCCTGGTGTTGGAAGCCTAGTGGGCGCCCCCTTGGAGCCTTGCCAGGGCTCCTGGGGACTCTTAGGGGCTCTATGATGACCTCGTGGGGGCCTTTGTGAGAGTCTTGCGGGCCAATGCGAGTTCCCCCTCTTGAGCTGCTCTTGGACCCCTTGGGGCCCTCTTGACGCTTTTATCCCCGTCTTGGGGGCACCATCCGCCGTCTCAGGGCCCTCTCGGGCCGCCTCCGTGCCCTCTTGGGGGACTCTTGGGTCGTCTTGGATGTTCATGAGCACGAAGAGGCGAGAACGCGAAAATCTGTGCAATAATTGCGGGCAGTTGACGTCATGTTACCTTTTGTGGCCTTGGGGGCCCCTTGGGGCCATAGATGTGCGTCTTGCACAGTCTGGAGGCCGTCTTGGGTGTCCTCCCCAGCGTGTTGGAGCCCTTCGGGAGCCATCTTAGAAGGTATCTTGGGCATCGTGTCGGCCACGGAGAGTGGATTTAGAGGCTCCGATGGTCCTCGAGGTGCGTTGACGAGCTCGTATCCCCCGCCCACCCTCCCCCCATTCCATCGGATTTTGGACCCCAGAGGAGACTGAAAGGAGGAGGAGTTCTAAATGCCTCACTCGCCTTTTTTACTCCTGGCAACCTGGCATCGGCGGATTCAGCCGAGGTGGTGAGGCGCTGACGTGGATGGTTTGGCGGACTGGTTCAATACGCTCCTCACAGGGTGACCCGCTTTGTTGCAGGGCCGCCATTGGAAAGGCAGCTCACGCAGAGGGATTCTTCGAGGACGCAGGGCTTGTCGTACCGCCGCCAGCTTGCTGCAGCACTGACGCAGCAGCCTTGGCCTTAGTCCAAAGTGCTGCGCCGCAGGAGGCGCTCGGCCCATCAGTGTAGGGTGGGCCGAGTCTCGTAAGTCTGCAGCTCGTGAGCAGGGGGGCCACCGCCGAAGGCGGCCAGATTTCTGGTGGCCCCCGTGCGCGCATGTTTTGTTTGACTTCAGCAGCGGCCGCGCAGCTTCACGGTACAGCCGGGGCGCCGAGGGAGGAACCCTTTTCGTTGGGGAGGGATTCGGTGGTCCTTAGCTGTGTTGCAGTTCGCCCTTGGTCGTGCTTATGGTTTCGATGGGACATCGAAGTTTAATGCATGGGACAAAAGGGGGCCTCGTTCCTCATTTGGGGTTCCTTAGGTCAACGCCCCTACTGTGTGTCTCGTTGGCTTGACAGTACAGTGTGACCAATGCGGTCCAAAATCCAGATCCGCAGGTCATGATGGGAAGCAGATGGCGCCCATCGATTGTCCTCTAGACATGTGCTCTGGTTCTCCGCCTCCACCCCTTGTTGCCATTCGCTGACCTGAAGAGAGTGGGGGGGAAGCAGTTCGGTTGGCGACACCGCCACATCTTCTCAGCGACCGATTGCCAACACTCGACAGGGGCAGGCGGTTGGTGACATCTGTCTTCCAAAGAGGTCGGTATGACCAAACGTTCCAATACGCGCGGCCAGTGTTTCCAGCTCGAACGCGTTCAAGCCGAGTCTCCGAGAGCATCGCAGTTTCACGCTGCGCACCCGTCGCAGCGTGTGCGGTTTCTCCGTGCTTTTCGAGCCCAGTGTCGTGTTCGCGCTTCTGAGACGCAAGGGCCGCGTTGTAAGCTCCACTCCGACAGCGGTGGTTTCAGGGACGCGGGAGGGACGTGGAAGGGTTGTCATGTGTACTTTTTAAGCGCGCGGAGCAGCGCGTGCTTGCATTTGGTGCTCTTATTTCTGCTCTGGGGAACTGGGCCTGTCTGCCGGTTTGGCGGCTATGTTGGCGTCGTCGCCACCCCGTCGCCGCCTCGTCGCCGCCCGTCGTCTGGGCCTGTGTGCAGGTCTGGCGGCTAGTTTGTCTCCGTCGCCGCCTCGTCGCCGCCCGTCGTCTGGTCCTGTCTGCCAGTGTGGCGGCGATGTTGTCGCCGTCGCCGCCTCGTCGCCGCCCCTCGTCGTCTGGGCCTGTCTGCCGGCTTGACGGATATGTTGTCGCTGTCGCCTCCCCGTCGCCGCCGAGATTCTCTTTTGCGAAAGCGAATTGGAATCGACCACCCCCGAGAGGCCAGGACAATCGATCCCCTTTGGGGATGTGCAGTTTACACATGATTCTGCCCATCGCGCACTCGCAGTCTTGGTTAGTACCCTCATAGCCAAACCAAGTTCAACACCCCTCACCATCGTGTGCAACAAAAAACTATGCGCGAACACTCGCTTATCAAAAACCATTGGTTCAAGAACCCTTTTCAGAAAAAGGGACATCCCTTGCGAACACACGGGACGAAGCGCACGCGCGTCGTCGCGCGCATATGCCAGAATTCTTCCAAAGCCGCACTTGCCGTGAAGATTTCAGAATCGAGCACCCCGAAAACATGTAAGGAACACCTGGTTGTGCAGCATCACTTTTCCGAATATTGGACTTCGAACGCGTGGCCACTAAGCGAGTATAAGTGACCGCTGCAGCTTAACGAGTTGCAGTCGTCAAGGAGGACGACCTCCTCGCGAAGGCCGACATCCAGGCGAATCCAGTCAAGGTATCTAAAGCCCTGCATACTAAACTCAAGACATGGTTTGACAACAAGTGCTTCGACATGCAAGATATATCAAAAGCGTCAAACATCATGACTGCGAGATACGCATATAAATGGAATTCGGCAAGAAAGAGATGGGCGAGATGGGACGCACCATCAGACTACGCCTGGCACTTCGAGGGCGCATGGACCTCGAAGCCTTCGATGTGAAGACTTTCCCAGGAACGGCGCGGCGGTCGAGTCAGAGGTTACTCGCGAGCACGGCAGCTTGCAAGAAGCAGTGGATCATTGCTTCCCTTGACATCAACATGGTTTTTCCTGAAAAGGACTCACGCATCATGAACTTGCTGGAGCAACCGGTGACAAGGATCGCGCGGCGTGCTTCACATTGCCTCCTGGGTCAGCATCTGCACTCCGATCCCTTCCAGGATCTGAGCATTATGACGAGTCGAAGCACTGCCCACAGCGCCTCATACCAGGCACAGGCACAAGGGCGCGCCAAGAGCCTCCTCACTGAAGCTCAGAAAGACCACGAGAGGGTTCGATCTCAAACCCACGTCTCACGACAAGGAGTTCGAGACAAGCTCTAACCTTCTTACAGCCAAGATCGATGATGACATTAACATGGCCGGCACTGAGGACACGATTGACAGGCACGTGAAGCGCGTTGAGGATATGTTTGGCAAATGTAAAGCCCGCGAGCACACATATACCAATTGTGCTGCGAGGTGCACGCAGGATGGGGACGGTAATGTTACACTTGTTCAAGACGAATATATAAAACAGCTCCGCCCCACCTAACATCATGAACTCACTGGCGCAGACGCTGACGCCAAGGCATCGAAGGTGGTCACTGACATGCTTGGTCAGCCGCAGAGGCGCCCTGGCTTGCGCCCTGCTCACACAGGCGTGGTTGATGGTATATGTTGTATATTTACAGCGTGTCCACGAACCGACCAACATGCAAGTGCGACGACTGAACGCGATAACCAGAAAGTTGCAAGCCTGTCTTAAGAAGATCGCCTATCAAGTCATGACTCCAGCGGGCGAGGCCGACCTGCGCAGCGACTCCGGTTACCGGCGTCTAAGCGGAGATGCCGAGGACGAGGTCAGAGGCCATGGCATTCGCGGGGGCAAACCTGCTACGGCGTGGACACGCGCACGCTGGCAAGCCCGTCGTCCATCTTGTCGGCGCGCACTGCAACTCCCATAGTTTGCAGGCCCGCTCGAGCTACTCAGCGGAAACACTTGCAGCGGCCCACAATTTGGAGGACTGCATTCCCACGATCGTCACTCTGCGCGAGCTCCACGCAGGGCCGGTGACACCCACTCAGATGAAGGATATATTTGAGATGGGCGGCCTGGATATCAAGGCCACTTTAACCTTCGATGCTGAATATGCGTTTAAGTCCTTGTCAAGCAAAAACCTGAAGAAGCCGACTGAGCGTACACTTCTGGGGCACCTCAGTGGAATACGACAGACGATGGGGCGAGGTATCTTGCATTGAGCGCAGCGGGACAACACTCGCGACATGACCGCTCACGGCCACCCCAAAGGGAGCATCGACAGGGACATGCTCCTACAGGTCATGGGGGGAACGCAATCCTTCAAGCGCGACTTGAAACGACGCACTCCATTCTGGGCTGGCCAGACAAGATCGTTTGCCTGAGGGGCAGCCATTTGCAAGGTGACTTGCCTGCGACGGGAGCTTGCGCGCGGGTCAACCTTCAAAGTTGAGCCTGTTTGCTGCTGCCTACCTTGTGTAATATAGCGTTTGCTGTACAGCTGGCGGCGGACGCACGCTTCGTCTCGCCCCCCCCCCCCCCGATTCTAAAGGAGGCCGGGGCACATGCGAGAGATAGCGAGCGTTTGTCCGCGGCCGTTTGTGCTGAAGCGGCCGGCCGCCAACATATGACTGTGCCTCACCACGAGGCACGCAACTTGCCATTAAGACCGAACACATCCTCGTTTGACATGGCCCGTCGCTCCCGCGACAATCTCCGACTTCTGGGACTATCGCTACTACGGAACAGCAGAGTTGGATATGGATTTCGCCTTAGGCGAATCGTATGGTTGGGCCTCCCAACTCCCTTTCAAACTTCGCATGGATGTCAAACTCGGGTGGCCCGCTAACTATATAAACGAAAAGCAGGGTTTTGCAACCGGAGCGTTCAACACAGTTTGCGCGCGCTCTTGCGAGGTCTTAGGACGACCGTTGGTTTCCAACTCTTTCCCGACATGAGACCAATAGGGCTCTGGCGCGCGAGCGTCGACATCATGAGAACGCCCTGGGGGGGGCGACCACGGTCAAAGGGCATCACGCGGGCCACCCGCTCGCGTTAAGTGCGCGCGCGTGTCGAAATCCCCCCCACGTCTTCATCACAGACGCGAGGACACTGTAATCGTCATCGGCGGGGCCAGCATCTTCGCCGTCAGTGCCCGTGCCGTCGTCACTACCATCATCGCCACCATCATCACTGCTATCATCATCATGTGTGCCGTTGTCGACGTCGCCATAATAACGCGCTCGCACGCGTCACCGACTCGCACTGAAGCGCCCGCGCGTCAGAGCGGCCTGCGAGACGTGCTGGGGAGCCCCCAGCGGTCAGCGCCAACGCGGCCGCGTTCGTCGCGCCAGACTGGTTGGCCACTCTGCGCGCGAGCCTGCGCGCGCTAGCGCGGCCGCAGCGATGCGCCAGCCAGCGGCAAGCAGTCATCGCACTCGCCCCCGCATGGGTTCTGTAACCCAAGATGCGGGCTGGTGGGTAAGATGGTTGCGCGAGCATGGGAGTCGACAGGTCACTGCGAACAACCACTCATTTCACCACATAAAACGCATTGCATAGATCGCGCCGTGTAGATATGCCCCCTCATATATTGCAGCACGTAGATTGGTAAAACACAGTTTGGTGCCCACGCTGGCTAACACATTGCAAGGACATGTGGCACTTCGGTAGGTAGTCTGTGGCCGAGCATTTTGTTTCTCTCTTGGGCGATATCCCCCGTGCCTTGTAGGTCGCAGGTGTCATCGGACCCTGTGTTCCCGGGGAGGTGGCAGCGCACCTGTCAATAATGTGTTGCTGCTGCTTGTCGCACGGTGGGCGTTTTTCCGTTGATTCCGT